CCCCCCCCGCCCCAGGCTGCCTTCAAGAGCCGGGGAGTTGGTTCTGCCCACTCTCTGGGCAGAGAAGAGCTGGCTGGCCCCTGGCTCAGCCCTCCCCCCTGGCACAGGAAGACTCTCTGGGCACTCTAGCCCTCTACCAGCTGCAGAAAAGCCCCTCGCTGCATAGGAGGGGGGCTGGAGAGAGACAGAGAGAGAGGACTGCGCCACTGTCGCAGATCACAAGCTGACGGCCTGTGTGCCAACTGGGGCCTGGCTCTTCCTGAGTGGCCTTCCACGGAAGCCCCATGCTGGCAGAACCCGCTCTGGGGATTAAATGGGACCCCGGCCTAGCGAGAACTCCTCAACTGGCCTGCGAGAGAGCCAAACCCCAGCCCTCTGCCAGCGGTCTCCCCGACCCATGGATTCTCCCCACCTCCCTTCATATGCAGCTTAGAACATTGAAACCTGAGCTGGCACGAGACCCCCTGCTGTCAAGCCTTTTCCCCACCACCAGGGGCTAGAAACTTGCTCTGCTTTTAGAGCACAAGCTGCAATCCTCAGGAAGCCGCAGGATTTGCGTCTTCTTACTTGGGGCTGGGGCTGAGCCTTGCTCTGAGAGAACGGCATCCGGGTTGCCTCTCTGCGTAGGTCCAAACCATACATTCTTTAACCAGGTTATGGGAAGAAAGGTTTCAGGCTGCGCTTTTCTTCCCTTGCATTACGTTCTAGCCTGCTTCATGGGACTATTGGGGGGGGGGGATTCCTGATGAAATGACAGCGTTTCTGAACCCCTCTTTGTCTTATCGAAGGTGCAGCAATAGGCAACTGGTTGCATCCTCACGTCTGCCGAGCGTCCCCGCCGTTCTTTTCATCTTTGCTCAGTCCTCCCTTGCTCTGGCGGCCTTTCCGCATCTCAGCTCGCTCTTCTTCTGTTCCGCTACGGAAGTGGAACGATTCCCCTGATGCTTCTTGTGTCTGCTTCGAAATGGCTTTGAGGGCTTAACTCCAGCCCCCAGCAAGACAAGCGTCTAGACAGCTGGTGACCGGGGCTCACTTTGGCAGAGAGCGGGGAGGTGTTGCCCACAGTCTCTTCTCCTTCCTTCAGACAACAACTGATGGGGCAGAGGAGCAGCTGGGCCAAAGGCCTCTGGCACCCAAGGCCAGAAGCAATCCAGACCCCGTTGCGGAAGAAGCCCCCTTGCGTTTCACAGGGGCCAGTCCCCATGGAGCACAGAGGGGCCGCCTGCAAACGAACGCCAGCAGGACTGGCTCTTCTGCTGGCCCACAGCTCTTGGGTTGTTCTACGTTATGCTAAACCAGAGTTTACACGCCTCAGTGTGTGGTTATAAGCCAAAAGGTGAACCACATTTTCAGTTAGTGCAGTCTGGGAGGAAAATGGGAGCAAAACCAGAACGCCAGTGCCCACAGAAGTGTGATCTTTGTCCCGTTAATGAGGGTTGTGGGAAGGAAAGGAAACTCCAGCAATGTTCTGAAGGGGGCCGAACCTGCCGAGGGTCGCTCCGGCCTCCAAGATCTTGAGCTGCCCATCGGAGACCCTGGTTTGGGGTGACCAAATCATAGAAATCAAGGCCGCTTATATGGGAAAAGGGGGACCCGGAGCACTCCTGGATGCTGGCCTAAAAGAAAGCTTCTTGGAATGGCTACCTGTGAGCAAGCTGGCACGCAGGGGCCTTCTTGCCAGCCCGGAGGGGGATGCGGGGGGCTCGAAGCCAGAGGAAGGGGAACGCAACTGAAAAGGCTGGAAAACTTCCAGCCAGCCACATTTTCCTGACTTTAATGAAATCTGACCTTCCCTGCTGCTCCAGAAGGATTTAGCTCCAGGGACTGCGAGGCTGGGTTATTTATTTCCAAATCTCTTTTTAATATGCCTCTGGAGGACAGGAAAAAAAACCTTGAAATGTCGTTTTGGAGCCAGGAGCCAAACTCGGGTGCCCATTGCGTCCCGGAGAGGCCTGTGGGTGCGTCGGGCGTCTGTGTGTCCCAAGCAGTGCATTTCTGTTGGCATCTCCAGAAGCCCCTTTATTTCAAGGCTGGGCTCTGGAGGGGAAGGTCAGGTGTGCTCTGCTGCTCTCAGAAATCTGTTTCCTTTCTCTTGCCCAAGAGGAACTTAATTGCTTAAATGAAGGGTTCAGCAAACAAATATTCCACTGGATACAAGTGAACCCAAACAACCTCGCCAACTGCCACCTGACTTCCTCTTCCTCTCCTTTCACTCTCAGGGCTGCGAAGCCCCAAAGCTGGCCGCCCTCGGGGTCTTGCTTGGTAGCTGTGATCTGCAGAGTTGCGGCGGGCGGATGCCGCCCTTTTAGCCCGAGCCAGCCAGGCCTGGGTTGGATTTTGGGGGCGCTTCCCTGGTCGCCAGGGGCTCGGGGCCCTTGATGAACTAGGAGTGGGTGCGCTGCCCTTCGTGTCCTTGCTCCCGGGCGGTTTCCGGTAAGGTGATGCTCCCTTGCTGCGCGCCGTGTCAGCAGGTGTCCGAACGGCAGGAAAACAGCCTCGCTCCCTCACCAAAGCCCCTCGTGCCTCCAGACCGAAAGAGCAGCCGGGCTGTGTCTCGTGGGTGCTGTTGTCAGTGCGGTGTTTTTGCTGTCTTGTGTGTGTCCCTCTGGGCCAAGCAGGGTTGCCCCAGCAGGATGATCACATGGAGGAGGCAAAGCTCCTGGGTGGGGGAGTTCCTGCAATTGGGTGGCATGGGGGTGAGGGACCAGAAAGGGGGTATTGCGTTCCGCCTGTGCAAATGTGCCTGGGAGGGCACAGAAGGCAGCCCCCCCCAAATCAGGATCTGGTTTCCTACATTACAAAACTCGGTGGGGGCTGGGGGAGAGATGAAGCAGCGCGCATCAAGGCCGGGCAGGAGATTCAAGACCAAAGGCGGAAACGTCGTCCGGGGCGGGGTGGGGGAGTATGAAATCCGCACGCAGCTGGCTCTCCTTTGGCTGCTGTAGCCTTCCCACTGAGACTCTGCAAAACTTGGCCAGGCCTCCTGGTCACGGAAAAGCCTGCTGATTTGTACTGGACAGTCATGCCGGACGGACACCAGCGGGCACCTTGCCCTCAGCTTCGGGCTTTTTTCCTTGCGGGAGGCCCTGAATGTCATTGTTTGTGCAACCAGGTCCCGCAACGGCCTGCGGTGTCAGCAGAAAAACATTCCAGAGACGCTCGTTCTTAAGGCCCGCTCCTCCGGCCAGAACCTGCCCGCCCAGAGCCCAGCGTGGGGCAGATCAGAGCCGCGGGCAAAGCTGCATCCAGGGCTGGTGCTGCAGCTGTGAAATCAAAGGCTTGCACATCCCTGAGATGGAGGATCGAGCGTGGTCCAGCTAGGCGAGCTGCCAAAGAGAACAGAAGGGGGCACGACTGGCGGGCCCCCTGAGCGCGGTAGAGGAGCAATGGCTGTGAGTGAGGCAGAACGTCTGCCGAGATCCCCTTGGGAAGCAGAGTCCAAATGTAACGGCAGCCCCCCCCCCACAAATTGGTATTCAGAAGGCCCTGCCTTTGGACAAAGAGGCGGCATTCAGTCCCAGCTGATGCGTTTGACTCCCCCGTGCATTTTCCTAATCTTTTTTAAAGGGTCAGAAACGGGGAGCATCTCGCAGCAATGCATTCTGTAATTGAATAGCATGTTGTACGATAGACTTTCCTTCTCCCTGTCCCAAGTCCGCAGCAATCCAAGTTTCCAGCATTGTAGCAGAGGGAAAAATGTTTTTCGGCTTTATCGATAAGCTGTCCTGTATCAATTTCCCTCAAAGAGGCAAGAACAGCTTTCTGCAAGCCAGGCAGGTCACGGAAAGAGCTCTGGGGCTGAAATATCCTTTGGGAGCCTAAAGTGAGGAACCCAGAACTTGAGCCCGGCTGTCTTTGGCCTGAATGACATTTCCAGCTGGAGGATCGGGGCCCCCTTACACTGCTGTTAATATGGAGGGGGAGGGAGGTGCCCCCTCAAAAAAACCTTTCCACATCACGTCAAGGAAGACAAAATGTTTGTTTCTGGGAAACTCACATTTCTCTCCGAGGTTTATTTTTGTGAGAAGAGTTTCTCCTTCCACTTGACCCATATAACGCTAAGGGATCCCATGGAGAGGGAGGAAGGGCTCAGCCTGAGAGGATCTGGGCCTCCATTGTAATTCCTAGGAAGTCAGTGGAATCTGAATGGAAAAAAGACAAGGAGGGGGTATGTGAGAGACCTGTTTTCTGGCAGGGCCGCGTAGTGCGTCAGACAAAATGAAAGCCGTTCGCCCGTCTCTTGCCAATGTTCCCAAATGGGGACGGAATGAAAAGAGGCCTGGATCAAGGAAACGAACAAACCCACCGATTCCCGAGCATGGAGGAAGAGAGTCTCCAGGTTGCGGCTTCAGAGCTGGAGAGTCGGAGCCAAAGCCACAGACGCTCTGATTTCAAGCACCCCTCGCAAGTACGGCGTTCTGCCCGCAAGCACATGCAGAGGACGCCGAGTTAGAAGCAAGCACCAGGGCGGGATCCAGCCTCCTGTTTCAAAATGGGGCGTTTGCCACAAAATCCAGAAATCGCCCGAATCCCTTAGGGAGCCCCATCTTCTTGGAACTTGGGGGGACAAGACAACGGGGGATCCAGAAAGGTTTTCCCTGGGAAGGAAGGCCCGGCCTGGGGTAGCCTGTGTGCTGGGGGGGGCGAGGGGGAGAGCAGGCTCCCTTCGCTGGATGGCTTCAGGTGGGGCTGGACAGCCACCCACCTGGCCGGCTTTCTCCTGCAGTCTGGCACCAAGCTGAGTCTGGCCCCCAGGGCCCCTTCAGCTTTTCCATTCTGTGGAACAAAGTGGGGCAACTCGCTCAGCGGCCCCAGATTTGGCAGGCAAAGGATTCCCATCATGAAGGGTACATAGCGGTCTTGTTCCTTCACATCTGCAACCTGGGAAACGGAGGAGGCTGCAGGCTGGGCTGGGGAAATTGCAGCGGGGGGGGCAGGGGGAGAGACACAGCCCAGCTACCAAAGAGCTGGAGGGGAAAGAATGCTGTTGTGAGAG